GGTGAGCTCTGGATTCCGAATCCGCTCACCCAGGGCACAGCAAGGCCATCTCTTCTGTGGGGCCAGGAGAGAAACCTGGCTGGTGTGATGGAGACCCAAAGCCATAGATGGAGGACAGGACAGGCTTCTAGGTGGGGGAGGACACACTGAGGGGACCCCCAAATATGCAAATGAACTTTATCACCTGTCTACTTGCCAACAGGAGCACATTTACACTTGTGCTTACTCAGGAATCAAACACACACAGGTGAACAGACCCGCTTTAAACCAAGGACACAAACAAATGTGCACAATCAGCCACTTCCCTGTGCAAGTTCTAACTGCAGGTGTGTACTCCGTTCACAGGCCACACTCTCCAAAGGAGAGGGGTGCCCTAGAAATGCATGGGGTGCACACATGCGTGAGAGAGGGAGATTAGCTGAGCCCTCTCAGTATAGATATCCTTCCTTAGGAGGTCCACAGTGGCCTGGGGAGTGGCCATTCCATCCCTCCCCTGTTACCCTCCCCCAATACTTTCTCCCTCAATCTCTGGAGTCTGAATCCTGAGGAATGCCTTCTTCCTGAGGAATCTCACTAGTCCCCTCCATCCAGAGCCCAGGGAATAGTCTTCCTCTTCCCTTGGGGCACTTAAAAGAGAGGGTGACTCAGAAAGTAGAGGCTTAGGTGGGTGGGTGACTCAGTGTGTCTGGAAGGCGGGATGTGGTCTTCTGACAGAAGAGACTGTGCTCACAACCTACATCCCACCCCCAAGACACCCTAAAGTCCACAGCTGGGCCACAAGGCCACGAGGGCAAGGGTGGTGGTGAGCGCTGGGGGAGCTGCTGCCCACTGCACCTCCCCCAGACCTCCAAGCTGCCAGCTGAGGTCAGGGTGGAAGCAAGGGCCTCCCTGGCTCAGGGTCAGGTCCCATGGACTTCTCTGCTTGTGGGATGAACTATGCCCCAATTTCTGCCTCCAACTCCTCTCCCAGATCCCTGAGGGTCACTGGCAATGTTGGGAATTGTAGAGAAGGACCCCTTTGATGTTTAGCGTCCTGATATACAAGAGATCAGGGCTGCCTCGAATCTCCCTGGGCAAGGGTTAGAGAGCGGGCTTGAGGAAACTGCTCTGAGCACACCAACAGACCAGCCTAGTTTCTTGTCCACTGTACGATGCTGCACAGAAGGTCCAGGAACTTCTCCAGGGTATCAAGGGCCTTAATTTTGCCCTTACTGCAATAGTAACCATAACTCAAACAGCAACTGTCAGAGGTGACTTCAAATGAAACTTCAAATGACAGAGCCTGGTTATCCTCAGAGCAATCTAAGAGATCACAGGTAGGCTGTGGGAGTCAAAGGGGCATGAATTTCATGGCTGGTCCTCAGTGCAAGTGAGGCAGACGAAGGAGGAGGAGAGAGCTGGGGAGGGTGGAGCAAAAAGAGGTAAGCAGGGCCACCAGCCACATTCAAAGGAAGTAGAGGCCAGTGCCTGCCAGTCGCCTCCGCATCTTGGAGCCTGGATGCAAAAGGGCCAAGAAGCCAGGCCAGGCAGGAGGAGACAGCACAGAGAGGGCAGCCGGGGGACCCACAGCTCGAGGGTGGCAGGCCAGGCTCGACAGAGGTGTGTGTGTTTCCAGGAACTAGAATCCAATTTCCTCCAGGGGTGGGCCATGGGACTTGAGCATCAGTCACACCCAAGAGGGAGGCCTGATCTGACCTTGAAGCTTGGCCCTGTCAGGCTCTAGGGCCCTCTCGGCCACCCCCAAGCCTGGCCCAGCTCCCCACCAGCCTCAATTCACCCTGGTGGAGAACTTTCTCCAGAGCCCTTGTTTGAAGTTCCAACTTAGTCAGCCCCACCCTAGCATGAAATCTGAGACTGAGGATACAGCCCTCAGCCTCTTGCTGTTCCCAAAATCACTCCCATTTCCAACATCAGCAAGGCTTCCTACCCATTCTTTGAGGCCTCCCCTCCCCCACCCTTGCCCCAGCTTCTCCATGAAGGCTCCACAGACCTTCCCAGGCCCCTCCAATCACCTTGCAGTCCCCATCATCAGGGCTACAGAGGGAGCAAGGGGCCTCCTATCCTCCAGTATGGCACTTCACATACCTTGGGTGGTGCTATTGGTTATGTCTGTGAACTCTTGGCCCCTGCTGGACTGTAAGACCCTTGAAGGCAGGGGCCTAACTGGTACGTCTCTGTACCTCCCACAACATCCGGCCTGGGACATGTTAGGCATCAGGAATGTAGCATTGAATGGGGAAGGGACAAAAGGCTGGTGTCAAGGAGACATTACTTTTTCCTAAAAACCAAGATCATTCCCCCTAAAAAATATATTTATTTTAAAATGAAGTGGGAGTCAGAGGCACAAAACACAGGGGATTAGGAAGCCAACATTTTAGTGCTTACTATGTGGTAAGTGATAATACGTTCTCAGATTTAGTCTTTTCCAGCAGCTCTATGGAGAGATATATTAACGGTCCCATTTTACAGGTGAGAAACCAAAGGTCAGAGATGATGGTCACCTTTCCCAAGAAGGAGAGCTAATGAGTCCATGATTGAAAACTAGCTCTGCTTGCCTCCTGAGCCCATGACCTATCCACTCTGCCTCCTCTTCACTCCATGCACCTAGCAAGAAAGATGATAGCTCACATCCCAGCTTGCCCACAGCCAGCAGATATGGAGAAAGAAGGTCTCCCATTCCACCCTAAGTGAGGAGAGAGAGGGCAAGGAGTGTGCCTGACCAGGATTCCAGGGCCAGGGCTAGAGTGGCCTGCCCCCACCCATCCCCTTGTTTACAGTTCGAGGAACCATGACCCTGGCCCTGGCTATTTAGAGACAGGCCGAAGACAGAGGCAGGAAATCGAGGAAAAATTCTGATATCTCATCCCCTGAGCATTCCAGGCAGCCTATTCAGGGTCATCCCATTAGGCCAATGGCCTGAGTGCCCGGCCATCTGGTCACTCCAGGGGCAGGACTCTTCTGGTCCCAGAAGTAGTAAAGGGGTTACAGAGGGTCCTCATGGACAATGCACATTCTTTCTCTCTCTCGGCCCTGACCTCACCTAATTGGCCTCTGCTGTATGTAGGGTAAGAAGGCTGATGCAGAATATCTGAGTTCTCTTTGTGTGTCCTCTTTTCCACCCCATCTTGGCCTTGGCAGGGCCCTCTTGGCACACAGGGACACAGGTATGTCCCCTCCTTCTCTGACTTTGACAGCTGTCTCCTGAGTCCCAGAAAGCTGTTGCTGCTGGCTAGGACCAAAGGCTAGGAGAAAGGTCCCACAGAATCCCTGGAAAACTTTACTCTTCCCCTTGGAATGGGGTGGCGGTTGGGAGACCTATTCCTTGGAGCTGCAGGCCTCCAGGCACCAACCTAGACAGATGTGCAGCCTCAGGGCGGGGGACACGGACAGACAGGCTGGCAAACACCAGTGTTCCGCAGAGCTGGAGGGATGGGGGAGAAGGGAAAA